GGAGACATGGTGAAGGAAATGGGTGAGAAGGACAGAAGGGGGATATCTGATTTTGATGGTTCAGGGAAAACAAAGGAGCAAATATGGGAGTAAGGTATAAGCCATGTAGGAACAGAATGAACAGAAAAGGGAAGAGGTCGAAAATGGGGGAAAAGAGAGGACCCACGCAAATGGTAAATGTGGTGAAGAAGCAAGAGATTGAGGGGTAGTTAGTGTGGTGAGGGAAAGTTGGTGGAAGCAGGCATAGTATCAGAGAGAGGGGCACTTCACCAAGAGAGAGATGCCATGCATGACTTAGTGTATAGGCCCTTAACTGGAGAAGAGCAGAAGGCACCTTGGGCTAAGCAAAGTGGTGGATTATATTAAAATGAACAAGAAGGGAAGTAGAGGCAGAAGAGTAGATATGGCATCAATAATCAAGAGTAACATAAAGATGGAGGAGTATTTTGCAATCTGAACCCGAAGATATACAGGAGAGAGTCTGTAAGATTCAGAGACATGGCAAGCTTTTTTCTCTTATGGAAAAGATTTGGTCTCATCAGGACAGTTTGCCGTCAAAAATAACACCAAGAAAATTTCCAGAAGAATGGCATTGGAGCAGAGCACTATATAAGAAGAGTTGAGGACCTACAAGTGCATGAGAGAAAAGGATGGAGAAGGAGCTAGAGGTAGAAAAGTGAAAGCCATGATTAATGGCCAGAAAGATACTGATGATATTGCAGACTGAAGGAGACAGGGGTGGACGGTCCAGAGGTGAAGATGGTTAAATCCTCAACATATAGTGATCACCAGGCCCCTGAAACAACTGAAACAATGCCATTAACAGCAAGAAGGAATTTGGTGGTGCTGAGAACACTGCCTTGTGGGTCATCTTTGTACTGATGATAATGTGGAAGGGGCAATTTTGACCTGGAAAGAGCATTTGGAGAAGAAGGACCTTATAAGGACACCCATGTTTCCACATGTTTAGAGAGGACAGTTGTTGGAGTTGTTTTTTTAAGGTCAAAGAATATGGGTAGTATGGAGTCATGGCATGCAGATGCAGATGTACTCTATGTCTCAAAATGAGCAAGGGGGTTAGCTGTATTTCTGGGAAGGAGAGAGAAGATTGTGAGATTCAAGATAACACATTAAGCGAAAGTTAACCATTCGTCCTAGTAATTTGCACAAGCAGCTAGTTAGAGTGATGGGGCAGTAATTCTTGAGGGAGGGTACCTGATCTATTGGGTTTCAAGAAGGGGAGGATAACAGTTTCATGCCTGTGAGGAGGAAATTTGCTGTCATCCAAATATGATTGAAAATAATTAACAGGAAGATGGAAGGTGTCTGAGCATACGGGAATGAGTACTATCAGGGCCTTCATGTGTGTTGTAGCACAACTGTAAGGCAGCGTAAATTTCAGAGGAAGAAAATGCAGCATTATGGGACTCATCAGTGGACAGGGAGAATGTGATGGGAGTTCTGTAGTGGTCTTAGTGGAAGAGAAGTGTAGAGAAAGGTGAGAGCCACTACTGACCTGGGTGAAATAGTCACCCAGTTCATTAGCAACTTGGAGAGGATCACAGATGAGAATATCTCAAAGATGGAACCCACCTGGAGATATAAGGTCAGAAGGTTCGGGAATGGCTATATAGGCAGTTCTTAGGACAATAACCATGAAATATTCTAGCATATCTGAAATGGACAAGAAGAAGAATGAAGGGAAAGGAATTGTAGAGAGTAAAGTTAAAGTATGCCAACAGTTCTATCAAAGCACCATCATGGGGGATTAGGAAGTGGGATATATGAAGTAGGAGAAAGTAAGACTGGAAATAGGCACCATAAGGAAAGTGGTCTAAAATTGACAATGGAAGTCTAAATGGAGAGAGGAAGACCATAGAGGTCAAGACATGAAAACGATTGCTTGCGCATGTCAAAGTGTATGGGAAAATATGAATTAACCCATTGCCACCGGGGATGGCATGTACGTACATGCCATGCCTACTGTGAGTCGACTTGTTTGATTGTTTATACACATAGATGGCTACACTTGTACTAAGTATCCAATGAGCCAATTACGGTACTGCCTGTCTCGCCCATTCACCCTTTTCATCGATTTACGAAAATATTTAACGTTATCCTAATTTGCTGTTAAAAATAACACCATCTATATTTATAGCACTAGTAAGAATACGTTTATTCCCATCTATTCAAGGAAAGGTGAAACCAGGACTAGCAGAGCCATCTATGGACAGAGATATTTCACAAAAATATAAAAAATGATTACTGCATTTCCCCCATTTTTTGTTAATTTTCCCCGGCGGCAATGGGTTAAGAATAAGGTTAGTTGTCGAGAGGAAGTGTTCTAGGGATTGGCCATGGGTGTTAGTAGTGGAATTACCCCAAAGAGTGTGGCGGCAATTAAAATCACCAGCTATGTGGAGAGATGTTTGGAGTTGGGAAAGTAGAGTTACAAAGGCAAAGTCATTGGGGTGGGAAAAGGAGAAGTAGAATGAAGTAACTATCTATGGGATAGTGATTTCAAAGGAAGGTATAATATATGGTGTTTTGTGATGGATGAGTATAGATAAGACATAAGGAGAGTGTGAGGAAGATACAAAATGGTAATTGGGAATTGGTTTAGGAGGATGCGTAAGGAAAGTCTCTTGAAAGCATATAATGGATGGGATATGATGAAGATCAGGTCTGTAAGAACAGAAACCACTAATATTCCAATGTAGAAGAGCTCCTACGAATGATAATAATGCGTGTTGGAGAAGTTGGAGGGGAATGAACTAGGGGAAGTGCTTTATTGTGACAAGGGATTCATGTGTGTATCCAGGAGGGAGTGGAAGCGATAGTGGGGATGGATGGCAGGTTGATGTAGATAGAGATGGGAGGATTGGGTATGTTGGGAGGGAGTATGAAGTGGTGCAGGAGGAATATGAGTAGGAGGAGGATGGATATTAGCACATTAAATGTAGAGGGAGTGGTAGGGAAATTTGAAGGTGGATGAGGGGTTTCTGTGTCAAGAGTTTCTGCAGTAGAGTTGGTCGGAGAGTTGAGAAATGAAGGTTTTCTTATGTAGGGTAGAAAAGGCAACTGGTGTTTGAGGAGTACAGGAAGAGGTATGTGGAGGTTAGGGAGTGGTAGAAGATAGGGTAGAATGTCTAGACTGTCTGCTGCAGGTAGCATGAGGAGGGAGAGGGGTAGGTGTCAGGGCAGCAACAAAGATTTGGAGTGTCTGGATTTAAAATGGCAAAAGAATTTGACAGGGAGAAATAGGACATAGAAGCGGGAATGTAAGATGGAGGAGGAATAGGTACAGGGGGATGTAGAAACATCTTGGGAGGAAGGGGGAGGGACAGAGCTTAGTAAGAGAAAAACCTTGTCGATGTGCCTCATGTCTGGCCTCATATAGAGTAAGGTCACGTCTACTCCTGAAAACAATTGGCACATGTGGGTGCCAAATGACTGATCACTTATGACTAGGTTAGGCACAGGGCATTGGGATGTAGAGTGGCGGTGTTTAGCAGGGTGACCTACACACCACAATTCTGACAGTGACAGGAGGGAGGCTGATATGGTGAACAGGGAGGGGTTCTCTGCCAATGTAAACATTGAAGGGGAGGTCATGTCTACTGAATAGTAATCTGTGACAAGGCAGAAACGATCAGAGCAGCTGTGGAAGGAAACTTTGCCTATTTGTTTTTGGAGACATTGCTGGAAGAGAGTATTGTCAGAGTAGGGGATCACTGATCCCATTTGGCTGAGCTAAACAGAGTATTCTAGATGTTTGTAGAGGAGGGGGGTAGTAGGACAGGGATGTGTGAACAAAAGAGTAGTGTTGAAAGAGGTAATACTGCAGTGTGGTGGACAGTGAAGTTGCAGAGTAGTAATAAGTGAAGATGGGGTAGTTGAAGAAAGTTTTGGGGGTGCAGGAGTTAAAGTAGCTAATGGTGGGAGAGGAAGAATGTTTGGTCAAACAAGAGCCTGGGGTCGGAGAACTGGGAGAATTGAAATCATTGGGGCTATTTGATAAAGGGTCAAGCCTCAGTGCCCCTTTTCATTACTGGCCATGGTAACCCTAGAATACGTTGGAGAAAAACAGTCCACCCCTCAGGGTCCCCTTTAGGGGTAAAGCTGTTCTTGAATGGCACAAAGTCATCCTTTCATCCTTTCAATACGGCTGTCACACCTTAGAAAGTGCATAGTAGAAGGGGTTGGAAAAGAGAGGGAAAATGAGTTGAGTCAAAGCCTGAACCCCAAGGCTGGGGTGTTCCCTGGGTCCCATTTTCCTAAGCCCCTACACAGGAACAGTATAAGCTGAGGCAGTGCATATGTAGTTTGTAACTCAGTATGTTAGTACAAAATAATTATATATACTTATTGCAGAATTAAATATTCTTATTAATGAAATTAATACACTGAAAAAAAAAAACTTGACTAAGTCAGTTGCAAAATCTTTTCTGTGAAACATCTAGTGGACAATTAAAAATTTTCTTGCCTTCCCCAGTCACAGGTTATTTTACAGAGGACATAATAAACTTCAGGGTTGACAATACTTCATTTTTTATTATCTTACAATTAAGGAAATATACAAATCTTAGAAAACAGTCCTTCATCGATTGTTGTTAGAGTACTGGTATCTGCTCCACTGAATGGTTCTTACCTAAAAGTATATGTACATAACTTCACTTTGGAACAATTTAACCACTTTTCTCTATTTTTCTTTATATTATGATCCATGTTTTGAAAGAAACTTGATTCTTACGAACATACTATATTATAAAAATAAACAAATTTCCTATACCTTGCTAGGAATAAATATTATAATAGTATTAAATAACATTTACTGCTCTCATATTCAGCTGAAAAGCATTTTAAGCATTTGACTAATCTGAAACAGTTTCTTTTTTTTTCCCCTAATAACTTTAACCTTTCATTCATCCACAAATTGTGTAGACCTGCAAAATGGGAAATCCTGGTTCATTTCTAAATAAAGATTTAAATTAAACAGTCAAGAGTTATCATATTGATATAAAATCACAATTTATGTATGAACAATTTACAAAAAATAGCATGCTGATGATATTGTACTTGTTACTGGTATGAAATGCTTTATCTCACCCAAAAAATAATGGAAGTATCACTATCAGCACTCAAAATTTCTTTACAAATGCACCTTTAGACCTCTAGTCTGTAAATTTCGAGGAAACCCAATTTCATTTCTGATGCCCTAGCAAAAATACTTAAGTCCCATAAGCATAAACAAGTACTGCAAGTTTTTCATAATATTTAGTAATGATATAACACTGACAACTTTTGAGATGTATTCACAGTACTGTATTTTGACATTTAAAACACAAAAAAGAAAATATATTTACAAGAACTTTGTATTATTTTGCTGAATAACAACAGCTTTCAAGAATATGTTAGCTATCTCATCTTGTGAACGACATATACACTAGTCTAGTATTATTAAGTCATCATCATTATTATCTTGTCCTGGTTCAGCCATATGCTGGTCATGATCATCTCCCTCCTCTTCTCCCTCCTCTTCCTCTTCCTCTTCTTCTTCCTCTTCCTCCTCTTCTTCATCCTCCTCTACTTCACTTGACGATGCAGGAGGGGGATCCATGGTCTGTCTGTTGAAGAGGTCCAACGTGATGGCAGAAAGGAATGCTGGATAGCAGTTCTCATGGCGAAGGTAAGCATCAATCATGTCTTCCAGTGTGCTTGAAAACTCAGTCTCGAGAAGCTGCAATTCATTATTTTTTGTTTGCTGAAATAGAGAGATTTTCTTTGTGAAGCATGAACATTTCAAAGCTAACACTTTAACATGCTCACTCCAGGATGAGAGCCAATCACACCATGGCTAGAATGACCTATCAGATTATGTGTGATCAAGCCTGCTCTAAGTTGTGTGCAATAACAATTGTCTGCCTGTTTGGACCTGGCTCCAGTCATTGAGGAGAAATAGACCATGAAAATAAGGCTTAACCCATTTGCCACACGTGGCAAGAATAGATGCCATACCCACTTTGATACACGTTTATTTATTGTATTTACACATAGATGGCTCTACAAGTTCTTAATCACCAAATAGCCAGTTATCAAGGACTACCTATTTCACCTGTTTACCCTTTTCCTTCACTTTAGGAAAGGGTTTTTTGTATCATTTCATTGTCTAAAATATTCTAATGACAATTCAATAATTATAACATCAATAACAATAATAACAGTATCGAAAGCAATGGTATTAGTTTTCCCGCCAATTCAATGAATGGGAAAATCAAGGTCAGTAACTAGGGCCTACTGATAGACTCCTTGCCGGCTGAGTACACGTGGAGCCATCTGTATGTAACAAAATTCACCAAAAACTACAGGGGACAGAACATAAATCCGTGGCAAATGGGTTAAAGCTTTTTGTTAGCCCTATTCCATATACTATTATTTATGCTGCAACCAGGATCATAAAAAGAGGAGTAAATCTATATTTCTTGTACTTCCAATTTTTCTGCATGCATCCTGGCTAGCATGTGGCTTTGGGAACTCCCTTTGTGACTGGATTAAAATATTTAATATCTACATACAAGAACAACAACAACATAAGCATAAACAAGTACTGCAAGTTTTTCATAATATCTAGTAATGATATAACACTGACCACTTTTGAGATGTATTCACAGTACATCCTTGAATACCAAGCATTAGGGCCTAATCACAATAAACACAACTTTACTCACCTCAAACAACAGATAGTCTGCTTGAGATTCTGCATACATACTAATTAGTTTATACTGATTATCAGAGCAAGCATCCACTCTGTAACCAGTGAGTCGATACATCACCTCACGTATCGCTTGGGATTTTTTCTTGAAGGCCTCCATGAGGCGTTTATTGCGCATCTCCATAGATGTGATTTTCTCTTGAAGTTCTGTAACAGATTGAAAATGATGTAACAGATATACATTTTGGATCATTATCACTTCCAACCCCCCCCTCCCCTTCTTCATCATAACCATTCAAGCAAATAAATCACTGTTAGGCTACCAAAAGAGAAACCAAAAAGGCCTCAACATTCCATACCTGTAATTTCTTTAGAAGATGGACCATCAGAGTTCACTTTCATCCCCACCTTCTGGGTTATGTCATGCATTTCTCCCTCCTCTAAGAGCCGCACCCTCTCACGCAGAGCATCATTTTCTGTCTGCAGCCGCTCAATTTCTGTGGCACGGTTCTCCACAGCTTTGGCAAAGGGATTGTTCCTACGGAAAAAAATTAATTATGTCTCTTTTTTTTAGATGAAGCATCTACATTTTGCACTTAAATTACCTTAAACCTTATACAAAAATATTTCATATCCATATTTATTCACATAATGCAAGCATCATTTATTAAGACTCATTTCTTTAACTTTGTGAATAAAAATAACTTCTGATAATACTGTAAACCTATATACTTTTCTCTCATTTTTACTGAAGCTAACTAATATGTTTTAAAATCTCTCAATTTTCCCACAGTAATCCATATTTGATAAAATAAAAACATGCCAGAGAGCACAAACAAAAAACATTTAACATATAAAAAAAAAAAATTACCATAAACATAAATTCATTCATCCCTATTTCCGGATCCAAAACAACAGAAGCGGCCAAAGACTTACTCAAAGTGTATGACCTTCGTCTTGGTGGGATCATAGTCTCCCTTCAGCGCTCGGCTTTCAAGTCTCAGTTCCAAGGTCTCTTTTTCTTGAGTTAACTTGGCAATATCTTTTTCGAGTTCTATCACTTTCTTCTCGAGGGCAGAAATTTTCTCCGCATCATCCTTTCTCTTTAATATTAAAATTAAACTGTTAGTATACATATTATAAACTTTAAATCAATTTTCAAACCTTAGCATAACATAATGCACAGGAACATTACATCAAATACTTCAGGGGTACTTCAGGACATCTATTATTCTCTTTAATGTTTCCTTAGGTAAATCATTAGAAATACAATGACCAGAAATATATCTTTATATGACACTATCCCTTACCTGGGGAATGTCCTTCTCTTCCTCAGACTCCTTATTGAATGCATCCAACTCTTTCTCAAGTCGTTGCAGCTCCTCCTTGTAAGACTCTAACTGTGACTCCAACTTCACAATTCTTTTCTGGCTCACTGTTGAGTAGTTGATAGTCACCTCAGACTCGTAAGAAGTAAGAATGCTCTTCAAACTATCTCGTTCCTGTTTGGGATTACAACAATTGAGTACAATCATAACAATTTTTCTAATGGAAATTAATTGAGTACAATCATAACACTCTTTTTCTAATAGAAATTAATTGAGTACAATCATAACACTCTTTTTCTGATGGAAATTATTTGAGTACAATAATAACACTCTTTTTCTGATGGAAATTAGAGGCAGATTGACAGGTTGAGAGCTGTCTTGCATTGCTCCTCTAGAAGATTACAAGAAATCCAGGTGCACCTAGGCCATTACCCATGCACTGTAAATTGGTTATTTGCTTTAATCCCAAGCATGACGACATCTATTTAGCACCATCGCGATAAATTGGAGTTTCCCAATTTGTAACTGTCATTCAGGTAGATGCCAAATTGCTCCTGGATGTCCTTGGTGACCTCCTACTTTAAGCTGGAGTACTAGCTTAGAGGGGTTACTAGTCCAAGAGACCTCTAAATATTTTCATGTATTCTGCCTCCACATTTTGGGATATTGGGCCTTCAGCAACCTCTGGTTTTATTATGCATCCTTAGGTAGGTAGGTAGGTAGGTGTGTAGGTAGGTAGGTAGGTAGGTAGGTAGGTGTGTAGGTAGGTAGGTAGGTGTGTAGGTAGGTAGGTAGGTGTGTAGGTAGGTAGGTAGGTAGGTAGGTAGGTGTGTAGGTAGGTAGGTAGGTGTGTAGGTAGGTAGGTAGGTGTGTAGGTAGGTAGGTAGGTGTGTAGGTAGGTAGGTAGGTAGGTGTGTAGGTAGGTAGGTAGGTGTGTAGGTAGGTAGGTAGGTAGGTAGGTAGGTGTGTAGGTAGGTAGGTAGGTGTGTAGGTAGGTAGGTAGGTGTGTAGGTAGGTAGGTAGGTGTGTAGGTAGGTAGGTAGGTGTGTAGGTAGGTAGGTAGGTGTGTAGGTAGGTAGGTAGGTAGGTAGGTAGGTGTGTAGGTAGGTGTGTAGGTAGGTAGGTAGGTGTGTAGGTAGGTAGGTAGGTGTGTAGGTAGGTAGGTAGGTAGGTAGGTAGGTGTGTAGGTAGGTAGGTAGGTGTGTAGGTAGGTAGGTAGGTGTGTAGGTAGGTAGGTAGGTAGGTGTGTAGGTAGGTAGGTAGGTGTGTAGGTAGGTAGGTAGGTGTGTAGGTAGGTAGGTAGGTGTGTAGGTAGGTAGGTAGGTAGGTAGGTAGGTAGGTAGGTAGGTAGGTAGGTGTGTAGGTATGTAGGTAGGTGTGTAGGTGTGTAGGTAGGTAGGTGTGTAGGTGTGTATGTAGGTGTGTAGGTGTGTAGGTAGGTAGGTAGGTGTGTAGGTGTGTAGGTGTGTAGGTAGGTAGGTAGGTGTGTAGGTGTGTAGGTAGGTAGGTGTGTAGGTATGTAGGTAGGTGTGTAGGTGTGTAGGTAGGTAGGTGTGTAGGTATGTAGGTAGGTGTGTAGGTGTGTAGGTAGGTAGGTGTGTAGGTGTGTATGTAGGTGTGTAGGTGTGTAGGTAGGTAGGTAGGTGTGTAGGTGTGTAGGTGTGTAGGTCATCAGATCTATAAATGCAAGTTCATATGAGAATGGTAACAGGAAGGATTTTCAATCCACTGGTTATGGGCTGAAAACATTCATGCCATATCAAGTACAAATTTAGTTTATGAATTGAATTAATAAATGCACAAAAAAGTACTGGCTCTAAAAGTACTTAGTCACCAAGGAGTTAATTATTGGGCATATCTACCTTACCTTTTACCCTTTGCCCTGATTCTTGGAAACATTCTTTTATTTTTTTAATGACCTCAGGATTTTAGTAACATTATAATAATAATACTGTCACTAAGGCCTACTAATGTACTCCTTGGTGGATGAGCATTTGTGGAGTCAATTATGGTAAAAAAAAAATCACAAAATGACTATAGTGGGCAACTAATTGGTTCTGAAACAATAAATGCTGTTTTTCTCTCATCAAAAACATAAACTCACATTACCTTTGTTACAAGCATAAGCTTTCTTTGTAATCTTTTAATAAGCTGGGCATTCTGTTGAGTATTTTTCTGTTGTTTCTCCAGTTTCACTTTGAGGCTTAACAGCTGAACACTTTCTGATGCTCTGCTACTTTCCAATGACTTTTGGCTGTTGAATATACATTTATCATTACAATGAGCACAACCATAAACATTTGACAAATATACTGATACATCCTACAGTATACCAAATTCCGTGATAATTTATGTTGTTACCTTGCACGTAGTTCTGCAATGCCTTCTGCTATCGTTTGGTCTCCTTGCTTCAGCTTCATTAACTGCTTTTGTAAGTCATAGGCAGTTGCTTGAGCTAAGCCAAGCTCTTCACTGACAACTTTTTCATATTGTTGCAGTGCATCCTGTAAGATGATTTAGAGGTTATATAAACTGATTAAGGACAAAAAGCAAATTTCAATAGGTTTTTCTGTGATAGAGAGTAGAACTAACTAAATGCTCTTATGGGTTATAAAGTTATTTCCGCTCGAGGAAGATTCTGAGACACAAACGTTTTTTTACAGAAAGAATGCTTTAAAAACATTTTTTTTCTTCATTTAAAATCATTACAATGAGCACAACCATAAACATTTGACAAATATACTGATACATCCTACAGTATACCAAATTCCGTGATAATTTATGTTGTTACCTTGCACGTAGTTCTGCAATGCCTTCTGCTATCGTTTGGTCTCCTTGCTTCAGCTTCATTAACTGCTTTTGTAAGTCATAGGCAGTTGCTTGAGCTAAGCCAAGCTCTTCACTGACAACTTTTTCATATTGTTGCAGTGCATCCTGTAAGATGATTTAGAGGTTATATAAACTGATTAAGGACAAAAAGCAAATTTCAATAGGTTTTTCTGTGACATAGAGAGCAGAACTAACTAAATGCTCTTATGGGTTATAAAGTTATTTCCGCTCGAGGAAGATTCTGAGACACAAACGTTTTTTTACAGAAAGAATGCTTTAAAAACATTTTTTTTCTTCATTTAAAAATTTCTGACCCATTTTGTTTGTTTGGTTTTAGTCAAATCTTAATTGAATGTGCCAAAAAATAAATATCACAATTATAATCTACATGATGAAAAAAAAAAAAAAAAAAATCACAAAATCACTATAGTGGGCAACTAATTGGTTCTGAAACAATAAATGCTGTTTTTCTCTCATCAAAAACATAAACTCACATTACCTTTGTTACAAGCATAAGCTTTCTTTGTAATCTTTTAATAAGCTGGGCATTCTGTTGAGTATTTTTCTGTTGTTTCTCCAGTTTCACTTTGAGGCTTAACAGCTGAACACTTTCTGATGCTCTGCTACTTTCCAATGACTTTTGGCTGTTGAATATACATTTATCATTACAATGAGCACAACCATAAACATTTGACAAATATACTGATACATCCTACAGTATACCAAATTCCGTGATAATTTATGTTGTTACCTTGCACGTAGTTCTGCAATGCCTTCTGCTATCGTTTGGTCTCCTTGCTTCAGCTTCATTAACTGCTTTTGTAAGTCATAGGCAGTTGCTTGAGCTAAGCCAAGCTCTTCACTGACAACTTTTTCATATTGTTGCAGTGCATCCTGTAAGATGATTTAGAGGTTATATAAACTGATTAAGGACAAAAAGCAAATTTCAATAGGTTTTTCTGTGACATAGAGAGCAGAACTAACTAAATGCTCTTATGGTTATAGTTATAGTTATTTCCGCTCGAGGAAGATTCTGAGACACAAACGTTTTTTTACAGAAAGAATGCTTTAAAAACATTTTTTTTCTTCATTTAAAAATTTCTGACCCATTTTGTTTGTTTGGTTTTAGTCAAATCTTAATTGAATGTGCCAAAAAATAAATATCACAATTATAATCTACATGATGAAAAAAAAAAAAAAAAAAAACAGGTTATCATAATGCACACAATGAATATATATTTTCCTATTATTTCCCAATTCCTCTAAATAAGATAAAATCCCATACAACGAAAGTGAAATACCCCCCCCCACCCCCTTAACACAAATAAGGCTGAAAAAAATCCATAACCTTACATAAATTGCAACAGATTAAAGTGTAGATTAACTTGCCTTGTAGGAATCAGCCTTGGCTTGCATCAAAGCACTGTCCTGACAACGACTTTCGAGCAGCTGCACTTGATGTTGGGCATTTGTCAGCCTCTCTTCAAGAAGTTGAGTGTTCATTGCTGTCTCTCTGTTGTAAAAAAAAAAAAAAAAAAAAAAAAAATCTAGATTAATGCCAAAATATAAAGAAAATATTGTATACTAAGTGCCTTTGTGTCTAAACTAAATCTCTTGTTTACATTATGATCGGAATATGACCCAAGGCACATTCCCTTAGCATGGTTATTATTCAACTAATTACAGAATCTATTTATGTTCACACGACTATAGTAAAATCAAAACAAACAAGTGATGCAAACCTCAAGAACTTGTTTTCCTCTTTCAATTTGGCAATTTCTTTTTCCAGGGTAGGAAGCTTGCGCACTGTTGTTTCAAATACCTCAGATTTGCTCTGCAAACTCTCAAGTTCTTCCTGGTGCATTTCCAATTTCTGGTGAAAAATTCTGCTTGTTTTTAACCACATTTAATTAACAATAAAAAGCTAAAGTCTTTTTTTTATATGTAACAACAATTCCTCATAAAACTGACATCATTTTTGATACTTTATTGAATATGATGTATGCATGCTAAATTTGCATTGCGGAAGTACAAAATCTCAGCCACATAAACCAAGTACTGGTAAAAAATATATATTTAAATAAAATAAATAATACTTACTCTAATTTTTGACTTAGCCTGATCAAGCTGCAGTTTTAGTGCCTCTGTCTCAAACTGACTTGCGCCTGAATCTCTGAGCTTGTGCTGGGCAACAGCAAGTTGTTTTTCCAAATCTTGTGTATAGGATTGTGCGAGGTCAACCTTCACAGAATACACAGAGCATTAGAGACCAGAATAAGAAGCATTAACCATCTTACAGTATATGGTTAATGAACAGCATGTAATATCAATGTATATATACATGAAGGTATAGCGAAAAGCCAAATTTCATGATACCTAAACAAGCATAAGTTCAACAAATATTCAACACAATCTGTCAATATCAACAAATATTCAACACAATCTGTCAAAATCACCTGTGATGTCTTTTCTTCCATCACTCTTTCAAGGTAAAGTGCTTTCTGGCGAAGACTTGTGATTTCCTGCATGTAAAGGAAAAAGATTAATCACTAACGAAAGCTGTAGTCCTACGCTTTTATTATCATCAAAGAAATAGAATATCATTTCAAACTCTGGATCTATACCATTTTCTTTGAAAACTCATAACCCAATTGGCACAGATGGCAACAAAACATGCCAGGCTCACTGTAATATAGGTTTATTTATTGTATTTAGACATAGATGGCTCTACAAGTGCTTAATCACCAAGGAGTCATCTCACCTGTTTATCCATTTCCTTGACTTTTACAAAGGGTCTTTTGCATTACTTTATTGTCTTAAATGTTACCAAGATTTTAATAATTTAATAATCATAATATTAATAATAATAATAACAGTATTGATATCAATTGTATTTTCCGCCAATTCAAGGAATGGGGAATTCAGGATCGGTTACTAGAGCCTACAAATAGACTCCTTGCGGATTGAGCACATGTAGAGCCATCTGCATGCTACAAAATTCACAAAGAACTACAGGAGACAGAACATATATCCGTAGTGGTTGGGTTAATACTCTAATGATGATGATGTGATGAGATGAGACGTGACGTCACATGACATTATGTG